TCCCCGCGCTCCGGCGGCGGCCCGGGGCAGGGGGCGGGGACAGGGGACCGCGGCGCAGCGGCTTTGTGGGAAAAGGGCTTTCTCAATCTCCCTCCCTCCCTGCCGCGCCCCGCGCGACCCGGCCGTGTCAGGAGTTGGCTCAACGGGCAAATCCCTTCCTCCCAGCAGGGGCGGGACGGGTGACTCTTCCCCCGTCCCGTCCACCTCCCCCCCCCCGCCCCCGCCCCCGCCCCCGCCCCTTTGGCTTGCTCTTGTGCCACGTGGACGAAATAATCGGGCTTGGTGTTTTAGGGGTTTTGTTTGGTCTTTTAGTTTCTCTGACACAGCGAATTTCTAAAAACGGTTCTGCAAAATCAGACCTCACCTCGCCTTCAGCCTTTCGACTGTCTTGGGTCAGGAGAGGTGACCCGAGGTTCTCGCCCTCATTTGACATCCCTCCCGTGTGGTGCCTTGATAAGTCAGGCCACCTCTCTGAATACGTCCCCTCGACTTGCGCGCACATTTTGTGAGCCCCGGGACGGCTTTTCTTTTCAGTCCCATCGCCCTCACTTACCCCATTCATGGCCTATCCTCTGTCCTGCCCACCTCCCAAGACCCCCCCCCCCCCCTTTCTCATAGGCTGAGCAAATACAGGGAAATTCAGGAGAATGACTAGGGACTCGGGACACCAGCAATCGACCAACAGGGGTTCTCCCACAAGTCCCAAAACGATATACGCTGCCATGCACCCCAACAGTGACCTGAGTGAGGGCAGGGAGATCTGGATGCCTGCTTCCTCTGATCAGCTGTGTGCTTTGGGAACGTTTGAAAAATTCTTTGGGCCTAAGCGTTCCCCCGTGTGCAGTGGGAGTTGCCGAGACCTGTGATATCCTGCCAATTCCACGGAAGAGAAAGCCCCAGGGAGGTGCTCAGAACCTGTTTTTCCCTGAGGTCCTTTCCACTTCTGTGGGTCCTAGGTCCCCCTGTTTCTTTTGAGATCTTGATCACAGATGGTGACTACTCCCCTCGCCTCTGAAGCATCCTTCCCTTCTAGGTTCTCCTCAGCACAGGGTTCTTATTAGTACCGGAGATGACAGCAGGAACCCAGGCAGCCAAGAACTATGAGGGCACCAACAGCAGCCCCAGACCCTGTGAACTGCAGGTTTGGTCCTGGAACCTGTCTCCTTACTACCCACCCAGGGATCTTCCTACTACACCCTGCTGCCTACATTTACAGGACTGAAAGGGGTTCAAGAGATGATCTAGCTCAGTGTTTTCCAAGTTGGCCTTACCAAAAGAATCATCTGGGTGCTTGTTAAGAAAACAAACACCCGAGTCCCTAAAGCTAGCCACGCAGACTCCCTAGAGAAAAGAACCAAGGATTTGCATTTTTCACAAAGGCCCAGGTGATGCTTGGTGTAAGGGGTCTGACAGCTGGTACTTAACAGACGGCTTAGCATAGGGGATCTAAAACAAACAACATCTTTCCTGGGGAACTGTCCTGGCCCCTGAGGAGTTTATCTTCACATCAGGGAGATAAGGCAGGCTGTCAGAGAATGATGGATTAGCGCAAAAGCTGTTCCTGAGGCCCTCCCACCCTGAGCTGGCAGGACGGAAGAAGAGAGATGCCCAGGGTCTCGAAACTGGCCCCCTGCCTGATAGGCTACACATCCCAATCTGGCGTTAGAGCTAGATCTCGCGTGAATCAGTCCACACAGTCACTGGGACCTCACCCGCATTTCCTAACTTCCCCTATTCCAGGCATCGTCCGTCAGCTCTGCCCCAAGCCGTGTTCCCAGGCCCCTTTCCGTCACCCCGGTGAGATCCCGGGAGACCTAAGCCAAGAAGCCCTGTGTGCCTGGCTTCTTTTTTAAGTCTCTGAGGCTGTCTTTATCTCCATTCAAATCCTGGGTTTGGAAACGAAGAGAGAGGACCTCGTCTCCTCTATCACTTCCTCGCCACGATCAGCTTCCTCCGTTAATTTAACCACAGATCAAATTAGATTTTTCTTTTGAGATACGGGAGCTGATGTCTCATCCCCCGCCCCCCCCCCCCCCCCAGCCCTGTCTTTGTCCCTAGTCCTGCCTTTTGGTTTCACCCGACCAAACTCTTCAAGATCCAGGACCAAGTTGGAGTTTTCCAGGAAGACTTTCTCAGCCACCGAGCTACAGCTCTGCCCAGCGCCTCTCTCTCTGGCCTCTGGACTCCCACAGTGACAATTACCGTAGCACCTACCATTCATTGTATCCTTATTACGTCAAAGTTCTGTGCCAAGCGCTTTACGTGTATCATCTTAGTTCATTTTCATGGCAACTCTCCAAAGTAGGTTCTATTCTTAGGCTCTTTTTCACTGACTAGGAAACGGAGGCTTACAGAGGTTAAGTAACACACCCAAGGTCACACAGGTAGGGGAGCCAGCGGGGACTCAGACGCAGGTCTGACCGCACAGCCCTTGCTTGGAGCCACAGCAGGGCTTGCCAGGAGCCCTTGCTTTCCACCACAGGCACACAGCCTGTGCTATGTTCTCCTGTAACCTAACGGTTTCATGTGCGGTTGTCTTCTGCCCCAGTTAGTTCAAACAGGCCAGCCCCCGTGCTGGGAACACACAGTGCGCAAACAGTGCGTCCCTTAAACCAGCCAGGCATAGAAACATCCATTCTTCGTAAATGTAAAAGCCCTCAGAGGAAGAGCTCTGACAAGCCTAATTACCCTGCCTACAACCAAACAGCCCTCATTGTCAGAACATTCTTTATGTCAAATCTCAAGCCCTCTGCCCCACCATAAACCAGTTTCCTTTCCTTTCTGATCTGGAGCCCTAGAAAAGCAGTTGCAAGTGGTGGTTCAAAGCAAGGGCGGCGGGACCTCAATCCTGGAGCTGGGCCACGCGCGAGCTCTGTGACTCAGTGAGCCTGCTTCCTCATCTGTAAAGTGGGCACATAAATGCTTACCCCACTGGGTCGTTTTGAAAATTAAATCCAAGCCCCCGGATACAAAACCCTTCACAGTATGTTTGGCATAGAGTAAAGACCAACTAAATGGTGGCTATTTTTATTTAATGCTGTTTATTCTCTCCCAGGGTATCAAATACGAAGTCCCTCTGTGACCTGCACACGACTCTCTCCTCCCTTGGCTCACCCTCTCTGTACGACTACACACTCTTTCGCGAACACTTTTTCCCTGTGTTCTCTTTAGGTCTTCCATTTTATTTTTGCTCAGGACCTCTCAAACCGGGGAGTAGGCGGCCAAACATCGGGAGGAGTCTCCCCTTTGCTCTTTGGTCTTAGCGTGCCTCGATCTGGTAGGAAGAGAAATGCCGGGCCCTCTCCCCACCTGTGACTTGGAAAACAGGTGCCGACAGAGTCCCGTCGAAGGCTGAGAGGGAAACGGAACCGATGCCCTGTATCCAGAGAGAGGACGGCTGTGATAAGGGGCTTGTCTTTGCAACAGTGGACAGATTTTTTTTTCTTTCAATTTCTTTCTGTGGCTGGCGCTTGGCTTGGGGTGTGGTGTGGCTCTCAGTTGCTGGGCCCTGGCACACAGGGCTGGCCACCTGCGCTGTGAGTTGGAGGAGGCGCTGGGGCTGGGGCAGGAGTGCTTGCTCTCCTTTGCCTCTCCAGGCCTCGAAGCTCGTCACTTCGCTGCCCAAGCAGAAGTTCAGGTTAGTCTTACAGCATCACACAATTACTCGGTTACATAAATCCAAGGGTGTGGTGGGAAAGTGGACCGGAGAGGCAACGGACCGGGGTAGAGAGCGGGAAGGGAAGAGAAGGCCGGGACGGCCATCCTTTCCAGGGCCGAAAACCGCGGCGAAGGGGAAGCGTAGATGGAATCCGGCTGAATCGATGACTTTCAGGAAAAGAAAAAGAAGCTTGAAGAGTGAGAGCTGCGAGAGAAGGTACATCTCACTCATAGACTCCAAGCCCGCGACTCTTGAAGGTCCTGAACGTACCTGTCTTCTTCTCCGGGCTAGTTCTTCCGGAAGGCCTTTCCTGCTCCCCGCCTGGACATTCATTCATTCATTCATTCATCTAGAGTCAGACGCTGTGCCAGGTGCTAGAGTTACAGCAGTGGGATAGGGCGGATGAAGCGGTTCCTTGTCCTGGGACGGAGCCTACAGCTGTAAGGGGAGTGGGTGTTAATAGAGGACGTGCAAAAGCAAATATTTAAATTGCAGTTGTTGTAGCTGGTACCGTGGAGAATTAGAGGGGATGTGAGCCTAGACCAGGAGGCCTGGGAAGGCAGCAACATCGAAAGCTGACTTATAAGATGAATCAGGATTGATGAGCAGGGACGATGGTCCAGGCAGAGGGAACAGCTTGTGTGTGGAGCTTGAGCCTGGTGGGCTTCCCAGAAACTTCACCAAGTACCAGGAGTGGTGAGGGCGGAGAGCAGCTCGAAGTAATGCAGGAGAGTTTGGCAGAGGCGGGGTAACGCAGGCCAAGGTAGGACGTGGGCTTTGTTTTCCTAAGAGCAGTGGGCAGTCACCGTATTATGTAAGGCAGTGACATGATCAGACGTGTATTTTAAAAAGAGCATGCTGGAAGTGGATTGCAGCTGTCCAGATGAGCGATAATGGTCGCTGGCCCCACGGTAGCGGCAGCAGGAATGTAAAGACATGTCGAACTTCGGCTGTGGTTTGGAAGTAGAATTTGGAAATACGGTTTGATATTTCATTGCACTTGGGGGCGAGGGAGAGGAGGAGCCAAGGACAGCTTCCTGGTTTTGCCTTGGGCACTTGGGTGGCACCGTGAGCTGAGATTGGGAGGCTGGGGGAGAAGCCCTCGGATTACTTTTTTGGCAGTTCTGCATCCTCTAGCTTTTGTTGTAATGATTTCACAGTATTTGTGTTCGAACGAGAAGGATAGGAGCACTGGGGCCACGGACGAGTGGCACCGCTCAGATTAGAAGTCTAGCATTCCGAAGCCAGGCCTAGCCTCCTTCCGTGACCCCGCATGGGGTTTCCATTTCATTGCTGGGGACAGAGCATACTGGATCTGGCCCATCTTTGTATCCACCTTGAGCTCTTGCACCTTATACCCTGAGGATGTTCTAAGCTGAGGTCTTCTGTAGCCCCGTGTACCTGGCACTGTGCCGTAGGGAAGAGAACGTGGGGCACGGGTCCCTGCCGTCAAGAATCTTATTAGTGGCACAGTCCATGGAAAATAGGGCCTGCCAGGTAGCAGGCTGGGCCACCTCATCAAAACAGAAGACCTCAGGCCATTGGCACATGCTGGTAATTCTTCCCCCTTTGGGAAAACCCAAAAGGTACAGAGTATAGTGCAGATCACAGCAGACACACGTGTGGGTCTCTGAGAGCATCCAGTCCCCTCACACCCCAACAATTCCATCACCAGGTCGCACAGCCAGAGACCTTAGAGAGGAAGGGCCTGGCCTCTGCTCTATGGAACCACACCCACAGCTCCAACGGAGACCTTAGTATGTCTGCATGCAGCA